AACGCGAAAATAGGTAGATGCCGAAAGATGTCGGAAGTGTTGAATGCGATTGCGTTCTCTATCGATCCTGAAACAGAGTCTTCTTAAAGAGATGTAGCACTATCTTCGTACGAAATACAAAGCTGTATACGCCAACGTGTACAAGCCGCGCGGTCTTTAAAGGCATAGAGAAACGGGCATAGGTATTTTTATTCCGAACGGCGATACGATCGTTACGAACGAAGGAGATAATCTTACATCCTTCTCGCGATTTAACGTCGCGAGTTTTCATTTCTACGAAACTTTCACCGAAGATCGAGAAACTTTACTTTCCGTGGACGGAAAAGCTGGCTTCTTTCTTTTCGCGCGAACACAAAATTCGCGAATACAAAGACGCGGGGATCGAGGCGACGACAGAAATAACTCGGGAGGGACATAATTCTTTCTCGCAATTCCTCCGTTCGGACGGTCGCGAATTCCGAGCGAAGCGACACGGGGTCGCGAGACGAGGCACGGTATTGGATAATACCAGGGGCAGACGGGTTCTGCGAGAGAACCATCCATTTAAAATGTCTCCCTTAAATCTCCAACACCACCGGCAACCACTACCATCACCGCTGCCACCGCCACCATCTCCGTCTCCACCTCCACCTCCACCGACGCTACCGACTTTCACAGTAGTCGCCTCCAACCTCACCTCCCCCCTAACCTCCCGCCCTCCTGAGGGCCTCCCTCGCACAGCCACCGGTTTCTTCCACCCCTCACTTTTATATCCACCTAAATCCATCCATTTTAAATGACGGATATTTTCTCCGAGCGACTGTATGGATTTTCATACTTTCTTCGAAGGAGAGGAGGAAGCGTGCATAGAACGGGCGCGCCATTTGTCCCTTAATATTTTCGCGCGCACGATCAAGGGATGCTGTACTCCTCCCCTCTCCGATCCCTTTTAACCACCGAAACCCAACCTTTTTTTTCGTTTCTCTCGAAAATTCGATATCGAACGGTATCGTCGTCTTCCATTCGTAAAATGAAAAAGAAGAAAAGAGATCCTCTCCTCTCTCTCTCTCTCTCTCTCTCTCTCTCTCCGCGATCGTCCTATCTCGCTCCTTGCTCGAGATTATTCTTATTCTTTCTCTCGTGGCTGAAGAGACTCGGCTAGGTCGATCGAGGTGAAATTTCGAAGAGGAGGTGTCCACGAAGAATCGAGAGGTCTTGGTCGCCGACAATGCGCCATCGAACAATAGCAAAGTCAGAGAAGAAGAGAGAGAGAGAGACAGAGAGAGAGAGGTCAGCCGTGTCAACGCGCGAACGTAAGTGTAGAGAAGTCGCGGGAGGGCAAGAGGTGTCGCTCGTAGGTATCGAACGTATCATGTATTATTAATGCGGATGTCGTCAACCTGATTCCTTTCTCTTTCTTTTTTCTTCGTTTTTTCCTGTCCCGTCTCTCCTCAACCCGCGGAGAATCTAAATGCAGCGCGTGTAACGCTTACGTTACGCGCGCGACCGAAAATATTCATCGCCGTCCCCTCCCCCTTTCGTCTATGATTCTAATGGGTGGACGAGAGGATGGGTGAATAAGTGGACGGGTGGATGGCTCGCGTTCACAAAATTAACGGAAGGCGTGGATTCGTATCGTCGATAGTCGAAAGTGTGCGTTATGCACGGTCGACCGAATGCGGAAGGAACGTCGGGTCTCCGACGTCGAGGCTTCGAGAAACCAAGAACGAACGAGAAAGGGACGCCGCCTTCTTCCATTAATCTCGCGGCAATCGAAATTAGCATAATTGACGGAGCGGAGAATAGCGGCCTGTTCGACTCTGAAACGCCATCTCGTATAATCTGTCCATATATCTCACTCAGTGTTTTCCGATAAAGCACGCATCCGCGAGAGGACCAATCGATCCATGGACAATCGTCCACGACATTCAACGATCGTTCGAGAAATCGTTTAGAGTAGAGTCCCCTTTTTTTCTCTCTTTCTCTCTGTCTTAAAACAATAATGTTATTATTCGAAATTATTATTCGAAAATGTAGAAATCGAATCGAAAATCGGATATGGCTTTACCATCTCTTGAAAATCCCCTTCCACTCCCGATTTATCCTCCTTTCTCTCCTCTCTTCCTCCCTTATCCACCAACTCGCATCTTCTCGAGCAAGACGTATCGACACGGATTTTTTTCCGCGTCAGTCATTTATCAAAGCCGTTCGTTCTCTCTCCTCCGCCTCTTTCATTCGATACACGCGAACTTAGACGAGGATTTAGGCAAAGAGACGGCCACGGGGAAAGAAGGATGGGGGGAAAAAGGAGCAAGCGTTCCTCCCTTCTTTTTCTTTTTCGTTTTTCCCCTCTATCCGCCCTCCGAAAGGAAAAACGTTCCTTTCGCGGAAGATGAGAAAATCCTCGAATCTTACGTAAGAGAGTAATACTGGTAGTAGTAGTAGTAGTAGTAGTAGTAGTAGTAGTAATAGTAGTAGTAGTAGTACGGTGCTGATAGAACACTTTGAAAGAAAAGGTGAAAGAGGTCGCGAGCAAGAGGTGGTCTCTATCTATCATTGCCTCGCGGGTTTCGCATCCATCTTCCTTTTCCACCTCGTCCTACTGCCCCCGAGCCTCTTGCGCATCCTATCCTAACAGCCATACTGCGCCGTTATTCTCTCCATTTTCCGTCTTTTCTAACCCGATAATCTATCAAGAAGAATAGAATTGGAACGAAATCGCGAACAAGCGACGATTCCGCAATTGCTCCTCTTCCTGCAATCCTCTCTTCTATCGTTTCCAAAATAAAGAAGAAAGAGACAGGACGCATTGCGCGCGTTAACTTCTCGAAAAAAAGAAAAAAAGAAACTCACGGATGTTATTTAGAATAAAGGAAAATTGTTTAGCACGACACCTTGGTCTAACGAGGAAACCTAATCCAACATCTCGAGAGGGTCCAAGTTATGTTTAGGGTCCAAGCGTATGCAAATAGGTGGATACCGAGAGCGGCCGAGAGTGCAAATAAGTGGCAAACGGAAGATAAGCCCGAATCCCTGTAATCGATTGGAAGAAACTCGCTCCCGGTTTAATTTATCAATTATTACCCTCGGTGGAGAGAAAGGGTGCAGGATCGCGGGAACCGAACTATAAAAATAACGACGACACGTAGCGAAACACGCATGGCGGGAACCATCAACGAGGGTGGCTTTTAATCGAGCGAATAATACAATGTTTGCTCTGCGAAAAAATAACCACGGTTCAATTTCTTAATCGACGAAAGGAAACGAGATGACATTCAGTAGGGACAATCGGACAAATATTCGTACGAACGGATATAGGTGCGAACAGATGTTGCCTGGTTCACAAATTTGATTCGAATTGAAATCTGTTATTTTCGATGCGATGGATCTTAATCTTAAGATCTTTAAATTAAGATTCTTTATAATAATAATAAGAATAAGAATAAGATAAGAATAAGAGATTGTTACGATTCAAGTATATAATGAAATCTTATATAATAATCCATCGATAAGATATAATTTTAAAGATATAATTTAACGATGACGAAACACGATGCATGATCATTTTATATTTTTTTCTTCCCAATTTATGTGTCATTTAAAAATATTATCTCTTCTTTTGTGCGAACACGTGCGTCTAAAATATTCATTAACATAAATATTAAATTTATTATTATTATTAATCTAGTAGATAAATTTCCTGTTTATATTTCGATTAGAAAAATATAATGAGATTTATAAAATATTAAGACTTTCATTTATTTATCTTTATTCGTTTGATAATGCTAATGTTGTCATTTGCTAATTGTTTCATTTCTTTCGTAATCTTGATTTTTTCTTTTCTTTTTTTTTTAACAATATATCTTAAAATAAATCGTTATAAATATCGCTATGTTATATGTGTACTAAATATATGTACGTATAAATTATCAAAAATGAACGATGAGTTTTTTATTATAATGAAAACAAATTAATAAAAATAATGAATTTAAGTTTTTTTAAATGAGTTTCTAAATTTAAATGAGTTGTATATTGTATGCTAATGTAAACGATCGAAATTAAAAATTGCATTTTAAGTATTAAATCAATAGAAAGAGTAATTTATATCGAAATTATTAAAACGGAAATAACATCAATTATTAAGAATTTCGGATCTTCTAGAATTTCTAAATTGGTAATTCGATACGAAATTTTTTATTTGAAAATTATTCAAAGCATCGATTCAACTTGAAAAATTTATTCGAAATTTATCCATAAACAATTCTATCCAATTCCACATGTTTCATTAAACTGTACACGGATCGAGCTTGTTTAGAGATTCGTGAGTGTTCGGTAAAAATCGGACGATACCGTGCTTAGACGGCTACGAAAAACCGGCTACGACTACTCTCCCCTTTCGTCTTGGAACCAGCTTATTTCGCCCAATGCGAAAGGGACGCGAATCTTTCCTATCAAATTTCGCCATATTATATATATTCGGCTATGCTTCACGTGCATCGAAATGATAAAAATTCAACGTTTTTTTCTCGATAAGAAGAGATATCAAGAAAGGCGCGAGTGATAAATATTTTTAGAGAAATATTTTATTACCGAATTGTGAATCCACCTAACGATCCAAAGATATGTGTAAAATCGGGCAATAAAACTGTTGATATAAAATAGTTGTTCGAAACAAGGAAATGGATGTGTTCTTAAAAACATTCGAAAGATGATCGTGAAAGGGGTCGTTGAACTTTAAAACGTGACCATTGTTGTACGAGCTCTAGCCCCGGTCTTTCGATAGCAAAGCAGACGAAGAATTCGGATATTGAGGTAAGTATGAAGAGGGAGGGAGGGGAGGAGTCGAGAACAAGAGAAAGAAGAAAAGAAAAAACGGATGGGAAGCGGAGTGAAGGAAAGAAGAAGAAGAAAAAAAATAAAGTTGAGAGGTGGGAATAGTATGAAGAAAGCTATTTGTACGAGTCACCGAATATAAATACCAAAGTCGGATTGAATAGTGAGCAGTAGAAGAGTCGATAGTGCATCGAGTCGATTCATATCATATCATTCATTTTGACTCGTGCGCTGAAATTATATTTTTCTTTCTAATACATCTTATTCGCTTCCTCCATTTAGAATCTCTTCTCGCCCATATTATTCCGGGTAAAAGATATCGTTCGTAAATTAAAGATTATTTCTTAAATCGTTGTTTGTTTAGAAATTTAGAATCATATTATCTCAGAAATTTATATCTGCAGCGAAATAAAAATCACGTTTCAAGATGTTCTCGGATGTCGAGGAATACGTGAAAGCCAGCACGATACAATACCGTGACGCAGCACACATTATCGAGGAATTCGCGCAAGAGATGTCCGAGATGAAAGGGAAATGCTTGGACATAGGTTGCGGACCTGGAATAGTTACCAAAGAACTGATCTTACCAAACTTGTCACCGGAAGCTAAACTAGTCGGTAAGGGAAATTAAGAAAAGAACGATCGAAAAATCGAAATATCATTCGTTAATATGTTTTGTTAGGGATGGATATATCGAAACCGATGATCGAATATGCGAAAAAGATGTATCACGACGACGAACGCTTATCATTCCAGTTGCTGGACATCGAGACCATGGATTTGCCCAAAGACACATTCGATCAATTTAACAACGTATTGTCCTTTTATTGCCTTCACTGGTGCCAAAACTTTCGGTATTCTTCTACGATTTCATCTTCCTCTGCTTTAATTTAATTTGTCTTTATTTAATTTTATCGAATGGTGGAATTTAATAATGTCTCGCACGATCGAATTCATCAGGAAAGCATTCGACAATATTTACAAATTGCTGCGGCCAGGAGGAAAAGGATTGTTTATGTTACTTTCGTGGAACGAGGGTTTCGACGTCTACAAAAAATTGTACGCGAATCCTCGATATAGACCATATATGCAGGTAATACGTTTAATATAAAATACAATCGATCGTCGATAATAGATCGATTTTCAATTAATCACGCTTGAATCGATCTTGTCAAAGGACACAGAACGTTACATACCTGTTTTCCATGAATGTAAAGATCGCCGGATAAATCTAAGAAAAATACTGGAAACCACAGGTTTCGAGATTCTGCATTGCAGCGAAAGAGAAAAGACCTACGTTTTCAAGAATTCCGAAATCATGAAAAGTAATTCATATATAATACGTATATTTATATAATTTAAAAAAAAAAAAAATTGAACAACCTAACAATCTAAGATTAACGACGAGACAAAAATATTGAATATTGAAATTATTATTGCAGATCATATAATTGCTATTAATCCCTTCATATCACGAATTCCCAATACTCTTAAAAAGGAGTTCGAGGATGAAATAACGCGCGAAGTAGTGAACATGAAAATTCAATTTTTGAACAAGAACGAGAACGGTGAACAAGAATACAATATATTGGACAGATATCAGATTTTTGTAACGTATATAAGAAAGCCTGTATGTTGAAAAATTCATTCAAAACGTGTTATTCTCAGTCACGTCTCATAAAAATGGAATAGAATAAGTATATTATCATATTGATTGTCATCAATGAAACATATTAATTCTCTTATAACTTCATTTTTTTAATGTAAAACATGTTAATTCTCTTGTAACTTTATTTTTTTTTGTAATGATCATATAAATTTGTCATTAAACAGGCAGGGGAACATTTGAAAAGGAAAATAAAATAATTGAATAATGGAGTATCATGTCATCATTTCTACAACACTAAACTTTATTTATTGTACGCTATATCTTTGATTTTACAATACGGTACAGCCATTTATAGAATATCGTTAAAACTCATATATATATATATATATATATATATGTGTGTGTGTGTGTGTGTGTGTGTGTGTGTGTGTGTATGTATATATATATATATCGTCGTACGGGTATAAGTGGATTTTTTATTATTTTTGTTTTTTTTTTTCTTCTTTTACTGTGTGCTTACGATATCCATAGAGGGAGTAACAATTTTTACTAATGCTTCTTTCTAAAAAATACACCCAAGTTTATAAATCGGTTGAGAAACCGTCGACATCGACGCGTTTCGGTACATTACACGTTTCCTCGAGTTCCGACGAAACTTTCATCACTTTGTGCTTCCGCGATTGGCGAAAATTCGCGTGTATATATTTATACTCGTTTCTCCCGAGAAGAACGGTACCGAAACTCTAAATGGAAGCGACTCGAGATACTAGTACGTTTCGCGATTACTCTTCCCTTCAACTTTCCCCATATCACATCCCAAAAAACTGAACTGTCACGGATCACGCACAAAGTTTCAACGTGCAGCTTGCCTACCACGTTGTTCCTATATCGCATATACTATCTAGAACATGGACTTATTATTCAAGCGAGAAACAATGTAAATGCGTCGAAATCGAAAAATATCCCGAAATATAGGAAAACAGTCCGAAGGGGGAACGTTAATCGGTAAACTCGCGGCGATGATGGCGCGCGCTATTCGACAGAAAGGTTGAAACGTATATACGTACGTGTGTAAAAAACGGCTCAAAAAATTCTTATCGTTACGGAAGATCTGCGCGAATTTTCACCCCCCGACGACGTGGTCGATCGACGCGTGAACAACTAGCGAAAACGGAGGACTGGCTTGGAAGGTCAACGAACGAAGTCGCGCCAAGCGAATCTCCCGATAATGATATCAATAAATCGCGGGGGAGGATACATCGATACATCGTGAGAGACGAACACAGAACACGGATAATTGCGCAAAGAAGCGAAGACAACGGAACACGTCCGATGCGAATCAACACCGCACGTTGTATCTCGCGTTCCATGGATCAATACCTACGCACGGATATTTCGCGTAGGTATTGTACAGCCAGCCATCGATCAGAGATCGTATTCGTAGCCGAATCGATGATTGCCACGTCCTATCTGCAACGTCCGATTCGAACAGTCAGATTCAAAGCTGTTTTCTGATTTTCTCGCGTGCCAATTCCCTAAAAAAAACGCCAGTTAAATGTATCTTTACGAGATATTACACGTACCATTAAAGGAAATCAAGTAGATAACGCGTGATACTTGTACGAGCATGGCAGAATTCGAGCCTGATCGTTCAGATGCGATAGCAGCCGTAAGAGAATATCATGGAACGTCGGATACGGAAATGTATACGTATATATGGCGAAGAATGGCCGAGGGCAAGGCACGAGTAAATCAGAGTCGAAACTCAGAATCGATACGGCTTAATGGATTTTCTATTTACGATTGAACACCGAATACTTTCATAATCAAGAAATACATTGAGCTCCGAGGTGAAGAGATTCAAAATCTAGATAGAAAACCGATCCGCTAAACGTCGGGCAAAATTACTCACATCCGATCCAATCCCATGCTCATCTAAGAATTTTAAAAGCGAAATAACGGTTTGATCGCAATTGCTTCGTGTCGATGCGTATGTTGTTACAAAATACTGCGAAAAATCGAATTTTCGTAAAAAATTAAATTGCTGCGTTAAATCAATTAACGCGCGGCGACTGTATAAAGTAGCTTAAAATATGTATCGGGATAAAATCTTGAGAACGTTACAACGAATAATCCTCCCCTGGCCGGTCTAATGTGGAAACGACTCGTAAATTACGGTTAATAGGTACGCACGGCCAATTAACAATAACCGAGGAAAAGGCGAGGAAATAACTCGTGGACGACCGAAACCCTTCATTTTCTCGGTATGTTGCGTGACGCTCGACGAAAGGAATCGACCGTACCGCGGCATGGAGAGCAACCACGAGGGAAAACAAACTGCGCGCGACACACAAGCTGTCGTTCTAATTTGCGGAAGAAAAACGCGGTTATGCCTCCACACCGCAAACGGATCGAGCGTTATTAATCGTCCGTAAATATTCCGCGGCGATCGATACCGCTGCTTCTTACGCGATACGAAGGGAACAATAAATTTAGCTCGAATAGCTTTCCAAAGGATAACCGGTAAATGAGAGTAAAATATCGGTCAACTCAACTGTTTCAAACATACAAAGCTAATCGTTATGATGCCGTGATGATCGCGTTGCTCCGTGTCCTCGCATCCAACTACGCTCTAAATCGTTTTAAAATGGAAGGCAAGAATAATTCTGACAAGATATAATAATGTTTGGCAAGATTAATCATCTATGCGTATGACAATAGAAACACTTTACTCGATAATTAAGAAAAAGACCGTGTGAACGATAAAATAACCATTGAGAAAATTGTAAGGACGAATCAGCTCGATAGAATGAAAAATCACATTGAACATCGAAGAGCATTCGAAGCATCGAAGAATTGACAAATTTGACGATCTAAAAAGAATGGCTTGTTTTCGAAGATTGATATTTGAACGCGGTCAAAAAGCATCCCGTTCTCCCATATTTGCTTGTATTTCACGCCTCGCCTTACATTTCTCTAGAATAAACCATTCACCACGGGAAAACATCAGACCGATAGAAGAATCGAGTCAGGTACGAAGAATCGTTGTTTTACATGAGATCTTTGTTGTGCGGAAGCCGAATAATTATACGGTATCATAGAAAAAGATTGGGCGTGATAGAAATTTTGTTTATTCGCGCGAGACGTCTGGACAGTATCAGCGAAATTCGCGGGAAAAAAAAATCGATTACCTTTCGAGAGGAAATTGATTTCGAAAGGAACGTGAGCGACGCCAAATCTCCACGATCCTTGATAGGCCGTTTCAATATTACTTACAATTTACATTTGCAATGTGTATCTACGTATGATCCGTATCCGTTGTCGCGTCTCTTTTAATCGAAATCTTGATAAAGAGTATTACTCGATCAATCGTGGCCGTTATACGACGTCCGATACGATTCAGCAAGTTTCGCGATTTCTTTTTAACGTAGGTTACGCGACAACGTTATCGCACACGAATAACACAAAATTAGTCTCGCATTAAATCTATGAACAACGACTATACTAGTACTGCCACCTTTTCGCTATTCTACTTATTAATAACATCAACAGCAACAACACATAATATATATCAACATTAATATAATATTTGTCCTCGTAATCTAGTTCTTTCTTATAGTTATATATTACGTGTGTAATATACATAATGTTCGAACACACGTATGTTAGCAAACGCATATATTCAGATGATTTTTCGAAGACATGAATATATGTACGTATTATGCATATTACAGGAATATAGGAAGAGGACGAAAAGACGTTCGTCCCAAGCGAATTACGCGACATCTGTATAGTATGGAGCGCGGAGAAAAAATATATATATATATTCGAAGGAAATGCATCGCGCGAGTCGAACCTGACTCGATATTGTATCTCGGAGAATTTTTGCACATCAACTCACGCCTTAAGAAAATATCAACGGTAAGCGCGAGACCAGAATGTTTGCGGCGAAACTGTAAGTACGAATAATCGAAATGATTTCGCACGACTCGCGGTACGCTTATAATCGAGGAACAGATTCTTCACGATTCGATTATACGTAAAACGTTTCGCTATCGACTATACAAGCGTTTAAAGAAATTCACGTCCACGCATCGCCACGATATCTCTATATCTTTGTTGACAATCTATCGAATATTGTGCTTTCCATTGAATCGCGAGAATCTCCAGGTGCACCTTCCCACCTCTTCTTCCCCCGCCCTATTGAACCCGTTTGGTATCGCAAAAATCAGCGATGCGAAAGACGTGCATCGTTGCGACTAAACGATCGGAAAAACATCGACACATGTATAATGTATATATACGAACATTACATATATGTGTATGTATATATATATATTAATATATATAAACTTCCGATAATCTTGTACGACTTAGCATAATGTACTATTGATTTCTTTCGTGTCGGAACGCTATAGGTAGTCCAAAGGCTACCGCTACTTAATTAAATTATATTCGCTTACACTTACATTATTTCATCTTTTAATAGATTATCACTGTTTCTCTCCCGAGTTAAATGTTCTCATCAATCGAGTCCACCGCAACATACAATCTTTCTTTTCCTTCTCCTCTTAGATGAGGAAAGATGGTAACTTGTCGAGAAATGCAATCACGATAAATCAGCATAAACTTAAAGAAATGGTAACTTGTCGTGTACGATCGTTTTCATTCGGATGAATGTCTAAAGTTAACGTTTAAATGGACATGCTTAACTATTTAATACTAAACTGATCCCTTTCAGCCAGATATGCAACATACAATTTAAATATTCATCCTACGATAACAAAAATGCAATATTTTGTGTATAAATTAAATATTCGGTTATTATGAAATTCGAGAGATTTAAGATGCATTCTCTGCATATTTATATAGAACAATCTTGCAATTTTCGCTATCGTTGGTATATCTTCATAATCGCACGCATATTCTCTTTCAATCGACTAATTAAAATCACTCGCATATATTACCAGAAAATTCTATATCTTGAGAAAACAATATATACTCAATCCATACATCGTTGGTTGCATCGACTTATCCAAATTGCAAGTACAATAAAAAAATTTCAGAAAAATTATTACTTCTAAATTATCTTTGCATATAAAATTACGTAAAATGAATGAATAAAATAGAAGTATGCAACACGTTTAATCTAATTTCGCAAAATCGGTTTGAAATAAAATAAATCTAAATGCCAACAAATTATGCGAACGTTCATTATTCTCAATAATATTTTTATAAGACACACAGAAAATCGTACATCGTTATATAAAAGACATCTTGTTAAATAAATAAAGTGATAAAAATGGTGATAAAAATGATAAACAATAAACAATAGTTTATCAACGATTTAGGATCGAGTTCAGTCTCCAAATCGAAGGGATTGATCCGCTCGTAACCCCTCGGCACAACATAAATGACGATAGTATTATAATCGCAAAGGTACTCCTTTTTTTTTTTATTCACATTGACCATGATTACGCTTTACTTACGTACATGCATGTATGTATATGATGTACGTATATTTGTGTGCGTATGTGTATATATACACATATTGCATATCGTAATATGATATATCAGTGGTGAGCACGAATCATCAATAAAATACGTTTTGTAAAAGCTCGCGATTCTCGATACTTCCGGCGTATCTCAACGATTGTTTACGAAATAAATTAATAGGATGAATCACACGAGAAAGATTTACAATGCGTAAATGTATGATTTTTAAACCTAAATTTATAATAACTATTAAGAATATATATATATATATATATATATATATATATGTATATATATGTATATATATTAAGATATATGTATATATATACATATATGTATAAACACATATGTATAAACATATATGTATAAACATATATATATATATATATATATATATATATATGTATGTATGTGTAATATCGAGTTACTTAAAATATCGTACAATTAGAAACAACAAGGACAATGTTACGATGTAACATTTTTGATTGTCTTCCTAAAAGAGGCTCGCCCCAATCGTTTCGCCCCGGCCTCAAAATAGCCGCGCGGTACAAAAACGCTAGAAACGTTCGTATTAATATTTAATTTCCGTTTTTTTCTTCTTAGTTTTTTTTTTTTTTGGATTTTCTATATACTCTTTCTTTATACAATACAGTCACTTTATCATTCACGATACGGACTATTCAAAAAATGTCTTTATACGGAGTACTTTCAGTCAAAAATATATCAAATCACGCATACGCCCATTCGAATCATAAACTTTCCGCATTCCTTATTCTAGGCCAAAAAAATTTTATTCTCGTTAACGAGTACTTCCTTCATCGTTACATTTCGAGTCCAGCAAAATTCGACCGATATAGCAATCATATTTTTTTCATATTATAAACAACCCGAGTATCCTGAAACGCGATTTAGCATCGACTTGTTAATTAAATAACATCTTATACATATAATAACAAGATTAAATAGTAGCACTTAGAAACATTATTCTTATTTAGAATCGTGTACCTCGCCTACATATTCTTTATTCTCAATTTCCAAAATTTCATTGACTTTTAAAACGGAATTTTTTAGAATCTCGACATTGGCGGCGATGGTCTCGAATGTAATGAGAAGAGTGCGTTTAATACTGTGCGTAAGTAACATCAAATCAAAGTAGAAAAAAAAGAGGAAAACTCATTTTCTATCTTTTCAAACGCATAGTTTCAATGTTACTTTCCATGTTGAGATCAAAATGGTGTTCCCGCATGCGGAGAGAATCAATCGATTAAACATATGTATTTGACCAACATATGTTACTAATCTTTCAAGAAATAAGAACTTTGAATAAATAGAAAATATCATAAAGGTTCATACGATAAAATTCATATATTCGAACGCACTTATCTGTAATAATCAGTTGCTTATCAGATCATTTAAGTCTTTTTAAAAGAGATTCGATACACACAAAACATTTATCAAATGCTTTGTGTATATAATAATTATATTTGATGACATTCTATTTCTCGAAATTATACATCACTTCATAAATGCTGCATTATATTTTGCAAAAAAGACATTTTTGATAGTGAATAAAATTATTTTAGTTAAAACACAGGTAACTGCGTAGATTTTATGAATTACTTATCATTACACCGCCACTGTGACTCTCTTTTGTTGTGGAGAAGCAACACATAATCCATTACTATCAACTTTCCAAATGGATACACATTTTTGGCAGAAATAGTTTACTGCCTTGAATTTGTTTTACTCCAAATCATATTACCATAAGATATCGATATTAAATTATAAACTATATCAGTCAATATGTATTTCCACTAAGTGATTCCGGCATACCAGTTCCGCCGGATGGCGACAAAGATAACTCTCCACTCTCATATTTACTACATCGACTACTATATTCTGCCATTAGAGTAGCTTTAACCTGAAATATAAAGAAAAATCCATCGCATATTATATTGAAAAATTACTATATTATACAAAAAAAATTGATAATTCTAAAATAATATAAGATTCATACCTTTGCTCTTTCTGCTTCTAATCTTTGTCGAACTTCTTCATGCTGTCGTTCGAGTTCTGCTCTTTTTTTCTCGTAAATTTTTGTTAATCGTGTACATTCATTTACACCTTTTTCAACAGTTGATTTTGCAACCTCCCTCTTCATACGATCTAATTCAGCTTTATCTTTATGCACTTTTGCTAGTTGTTTCACCTATAGTTAAATAAATATTTCTTATTATAACTCATAATTACTCATACATAATTAAAAATATATTCTAAAATAGGAATAATATAAAAAACATACTTCTCCATGTCTTGTAGCTTGAAGTTTTCTCATAACATCGGCAGTTTCTCGCTCTAAAAGTACTCTCAATGTTTTTAATTGATTGGACTGAGAAGTTTTCATTACTTTTTCCAAAGTTGCAAATAAATTTTCATAGTATTTTTCCTGAAGTTCTCGTTCTTGTTGTACATGAGCTTTACATACGGCTAACAAACGTTCACTCTGACTTCTAGGTAGTCCTTTTGGAGTTCCACCATTTCCTTCACGGTTTTCAATATCTGTGCATTCTGACGTTTCTGCTAAAGCTAATGTACTCAATCCTACTTCACTTGAAAATCTATATATAAAGAATATAAAGAATATAAAGATATACATATAATCATATACATAATTATGTTATAATTATATATAATTATGTTATAATATATTTGTGAAAATCAACAACTTACATATTTCTACTTGACAACCGTTTCACTAATTTATGGCTCACATAGAATTTCGATTTATGCTTTTCACCATCGATGGATCCTTTTTGCGTTTGCATCCTTAATTTTTCTTTTTCATGCTTTTTTCGCAATGATTCAAGCTTCTTCTCGAGCTCTATTTTCTTTTCTCGAACAAGTTTATTTTCCATTAATTTTTCTAAAGATTCGGCCACTATTTCATCGCTCACTATAACATAAAAAAACTAATTATGCAATCCAAATAATACATAATAAATAATTAATACATACTACCACTGATATTGACTGAACTTTTATTTGTAGAAGCATCAACGACTTGAACTGTAGATGTAGGAGTTCCATCCTCGTTATCTTGTGTATCAGACATATTTATCCCAGCAATAGATGGCCTACCATGAATATTTGTAGGTGGTGGTACAAGTGGTGATAATTCACCCACAGATTGTAATCTTTTCGTTTTGATTGTTTCCTCCTAGGACAATATATTTAAAAATATATATAAATATATTTATATATCTATATTGAAATTTTTTAACCGATGAACTTACTGTTGGTTTAGAAGAACTTGCTCCTTCACCAACTTTGGGTTTATCCTAGAAGATGTTAGTATGCATTTGTTAGTAAATTAATGAGTTAGTAATAAGTAAATTTCTAACGTTTCAAATCTTACATTAATTTCCTCTGATGGATCTTCTGAACCGTCTGTAAGAACTGACAACTGTTTTTCTCTTTTTTCTGTTTCACTTTGATATTTAATTGGATTTGCTAAAGCTTCAGCAAGTTCGCTCAATCCATCTGGGACATAATCTTTTACAATTACATGTAAAAATAAATTTGCTAATGATAATGGTTGACCACATTCTGTTCTAAGAGCAACATGTCGATAACCTGGACATAATCCAACTACGGGTAGCACTCTATGACCAATTAAACGTCCTGATTCTTCATATGCAGCAATTCTAATTGAAGCAAGTTCAGGCAAAACTACCTAATAAATATATAAAGTTTTATCACATATAGATAGATAATAGTTACAAAATATATGCTATCAACTATATAAAAATATGAATTCTCACTTTTTTAAATATAAAAGGTTCCTCATCGTAAACAGGATTGATTCCATTGTTCGGAACAATTTTTGTGCGAAATTTTTTTCTCACTGTATCTGCTGGTAAACCATACATATCTACTTCTATATAAGTACCCACTCTTTTGTCTGTTAAAAATTGAGCTGATATTACGTGTATATGAACCGTTCCCGCTATAATACCATCTACTGTCGATTCCGCAAAAGGATCTAATCGTTGATCCTTTCGTCTCATGAATTCTGGTTTCAAGAGATAACCACAACGTTGATTATATTCAAAAATTCCCAAATTTAATTGCATCGCAAGATCTAATGCAAAAAAATATTGAATATTAAGTAAATTTCAGAATCAATATAAAATAAATTTAAAATACATACCAAGAGTTTGATAATTTAATGCAACCAGCTGACAACCTGCATTCCAAAAGACTTGAGGCATGAAATTACTAGAATCGAAACGTGTACCTGCTGGATATACTCTTGATAATTGATGCTTATTATAATTTACAAATTCTAATGGTCTTTCTTTTAAAAGTGTTGTAGCTTGTTTTTCATCAAATGATGACATTTCATACATTCGATTTTTTTCTGTAAAAATCAAATAATTTTCATCAAATAATTATAAATAAAAAAAATAAATTTAATAATTGATATTGATATATTAATGCATACTTTCAGCTGATTCAAAACTGTTAAAATGAACAGGTTGCACATAATTAACTAAAGCTGAAATTTCTGCTCCAGCTTCTGTTTCTTTGGCGTTAGGTGCTACTTTATCAGGTGCAGGCACTTTATCAACCATTCTTAATTTAATATCCTCCACATTTGATTCATCCTCTTCTGTAGTCGATTCTTCTTCTTCATCTAAAAATAATAAATTTTTCTCTAAATATATTTTTAATACACAATTATGTAATTTTTTGCTAACCTTCATCATCCTGAGTACTATCCTTGCTACTTTGTCTTTGCTGTAACATCGGAGGATGTGAAATATCTCCATTTCCGATCTGTTGACCATTATTATCAACTGCTTCAGCATGAGAAACAATATCTGGCGGCGGTCCATTTTCTCCCTCCGCAACTTGATTTGTTACTCCATTATCTTCATTTTCTCGTGCTTCCTCTTCAAATTCTGTTGCCGGTGTCTGTTGCTTTTTTTTATGTTTTTTATGATGATGATGATGCTTTTTTTTATTTTTAATTATAATCTTGCGTTTTAATAAAGATGGAGGTGGTAATTCTTGTCCTGGTTCCAACTAAGTAAAATATATTAAAGAAATGAGATTAAAAATAAAATGTTATAAATATAAACATATCAAAAATACCTTATGAGATTCAAGAGGAGCATCCAATAACATTTCTCCAAATAATTCTCTACAATATTGAGCTATCTTAGCTTGCTGTCTTGGATTGCAATGATTTTCAAAACTAAGAATAACAGGATATTCTGATGTTTTAAAAGCACTTTCAGCAATTGCTTCAATCACATCTCGTGCATATATTTCAGGTACAAATGTATATCTAGAAAATATTTCTAAAGAAGCAGGCAGAATACATAATTTTTAATATAATTAATTATTTTATTATAAAATAAAAATACCCGTGAACAATGACAGGTTCTTCAAATTTTCCATTCCAAAAGTCCAATTCTACACATCGGCAACCAGCAAGCAGACATTGACGATATATTTCGACGGAACTTTTTCCAGTAAGTTGATGTCCTAAATATATATTTAAAAATACAAATATATATTTAAAAATACAAAAACAAATTGCATAATCAATTAAAAATAGAAAATCATAAAAGTGATGTACCTGTTAAGTATGTATTGTGACTAGAATTTATAAAGTAATGCGCAAGCGGTTGGTCCATGTCATCTGATAATTCAAGTTTCGATAAAGCCACGATTGGGTTATCCTCACTCATCAAATATCTCAAAAATCCATCGAAACTTAGCTGACCCCGATTTGCATTATATTTATTTGGTTCATATTGACTTATAATATCCTTCGCTCTCGCTTCATTTGCATAAGGATACAATATTTCGTTTAAACGGGGATCTCTTTGAGTTTTATTCAAAAAATCAACAAATTGAGTTACAGACATTAGCCTACGCTTATTATTGCCTACGATGCGTTCGAAAACTTTTTCAACATCCGATCGTTGAGTAAGAGATTTATAAAAGTTGAAAAAATCTTCAAATTGAAATTTTTGTAACGATATCACATCATTCTAAAATAAAAAAAAAAAGGTAATTTTTATAATAACAAGAATGTCATTTTTACAAATGCACAAATGTTACAACTCACTTTTCCAGATGGAAAACCAGAAATATCAAGTGCTTTTTCGACTCGTTTACGATCTTCTTTGTTTTGCGTAAACATTCTTATAATACTAAATAATAATATAGAAATTTATTTATGTATTCATGTTTAATTTACATATATTCATATATAGATACAAATTAAATTTATACAAATTTACTCACTTCTTAACAGGTATTTTTCCTGATTTATCAGCTGCAAGTGTAAGTTTGGTATGTGCTTTCTGCAAAAACATAGTTGTACTGATGTTTAATAGAGATAGATTATATGCAAGCTGAAAAATTTCTTCTGTCCAATGTTTTGCAACTTCTGCACGTGTTGTACAGAAGTTAATAAAATTCATATTGACAAAATCAGATCCATAACAAATTGTTACTGTTTTCTCTTCTAAAGAATCTTGAGAACCCATTGTCACAAGATATCTCAATTTGGGATCCTGAAAAAGCATTTCTTATTTTAAAAAAGATGACAAAATATGATTTTAATATAGAGATATCAGTAATATTTATTCATATGAAATTAATTTATTCGTGTAATGGAAGTAACTATAACTTATATTATAATAAGCTACTAGTATAGATTGGAACTACAATGTTACTTTACAAAATGATTATTGATTTATAGGAAAATGAAACAGATAAGAACTGCTCTGCTTCCTATACAACTAAGAATATTTCCATTGTGTACAAAGATAGGTGTGACTGAAAAAAATGAACTACATTGAGGACATAAAGTAGGTAATATTCTATTTATAGATTTGTCAATAATTATCATGTGGTGGTGCTGTGCGTCATTAGCAACCACGCAAAAGAATGATATAATTATAAAAAAGAACATCTTCATTTCCAAATATTTACACCTAATACACATTAATACAACTAATAGAACGTTTAACTAAGTTTATTCTTTTCTATGATATTAACAATAATAAACTCATCTAAATTTTACAATGAAAAATTCAAATACAATTATATTATACTGAAAAAAACAAAAAAAATAATTTAATACCTTTGGTACTTTAGCATATTTTCCAGTTCTAGTATCTCTTATTACAGCAATATCCAACATTTCCATTTCATTATGTTGATCCACCCAATGCAGGTAAAATCCAAATTTATCGACTCTCAATGTTACTGGAGTTGCTATACCAGAATCCTACATAGAAATATGAATAAAACTAATCATCATGCACATACAACAACATAGCTTGTTACTTAAAATTTAATACCATCTAAAATATTCTGCTATAATAATAATTTGGTATATAACTCATACCTCATCCCATTTGATGAATTTTTCTCCCTCTTGTAATTGTTGAGACACTTCAATAGGTCTAAATTGCACGACACTACCTGCTGTCTTATTACCCGCCATCCTGCCTGAAGGATACTGCGAGTAATTTGGTATAGAGACAATATTATTTCTTAGCACGAATGCACTAATAAAGAAGCAAGCAATGCAGGCTGATTGTATCAATGACAACAATAACAAGCACAAAGACGTTGATAGCCACAGTAACAATGACAATGATGTCAATGGCTATAACGAAAACGACGTCGATGATAACGGTAATAAAGGACAAAACGATGAGGGTAATAACGACGTTAACGACAGCAATGGCACCAGCAATAATAATAACGACGACGACGACGACGACGACGACGACGACGACGGTAACGATGACGATGACGATGACGACGGCGACGACGACGGTGGCAGCGGTGACGACGGTAGCAGCGGTGACGACGGTGACAGCGATATAAGATTCATCGAGATTTTCTTATGCATTAAACGCACCTCATGAACCACCTTACCTTGACAGGTATTGTTGTTTGATCATCCGTAATGAAAGATGTAACCGTATTTCGACGTCGATGTCGTCGTCGTCGCCGTCGTCGCAGAATTCTGACAGGTATCGTCTTATAAATACCGACAATAAATACGTAAAGTTTTTGGTGAACACGTCAGTCCCGGTTAATTAAACGTTTTGAAGAAAAAACAAATCATTGGATTGCCAAATCACTGTCTGGTATTGCGATGAAAATTAAAAGAACAGTTTAACACATATGTCCCACGGTAAAAAGAGCTTGCAATTGATATGCACCGCAAAAGTTTTCGTACTTCTGAGCACTCGCGCACTCACTTGGTCCAGAAGAACATTCTTCCGCGCGCCGTACCGAAGATATTCCGAGCAAATCCGAGCACCGCTACCCGTCACCCGTCATCCGTCACCCGTTACCCTCGTCGCCAGGAGGCGCTCAAACTGTTTCACAAATTATAAAAGAACGTATTACACGTGCGCTTATCGCGCTCAAATTGATTTTAAAGCGAACTATGATATTCATACCATAATACCATTACTGTTTTTATGCTTTTCTTAACGCTATTTTGATCCTATAATTATCCATAAATAGTTTTTTAATTATTTATTATAACTGTGACCTTTCTTTTAAATATTATCAATTTTATTTGAAAGTAATCAATTTAAAATTAATGATTTTTAGTAAATTTTGACACTAATTCTAATTTTACTTTAAAATAAATATTTTACTTTAAAATAAATAATATATTCTCAATATACAAAAAAACTAATCAACTCTTTAAATTCATAAAGTCGATTTAATTTTATACTGCAACTATTAAAATCGATTCAATTTAGTCTAACGATAGATAAACGATAGATCATTAAATATTTTATTACATTTTAATGATAGTTGAATATCCTATCTAAATTATTAATTAAAAAAAAATAAATTTCGAATATTTTTATCGTATTCAATATGTATCATAATATAATGATATTAAACAATTAAAATTTAAATGTTTTTTGTATTTATATTTATTATTATTAAAATATAGATATAATTATTATTAATATTCTTACTATTATTAATGATTGAGTTATGATTAACACATTTAATTAAATATTAATATATATAATTAAATATAAAAAAAATTTATTTATTTAAAAAAATTTATTTAAAAAAATTTATTTTTTATTTAAATGAATTTCACAATATAATTTTTTATTAGATATACACATTGCATCACTCTCCTCAAAATAATGTTTTGTAATGTAATCAATTAATAATTGATATTCTGATTAATCATAAAAGGTTAAATTGATGTTAAAATCTCTTCAATTTTATGGAAGTCTTATATTTTAAAAATCTTAATTATTAATGATGCAATACAAGTTAAGATTAAATAATAATGAAATACAGAATATTTTTATATATGTTAACAAAAATCATTTGGTGTTTACAACATAAAAATAAATAAGTAATCGAATATGATTGTAATAAAAGATAAAGATGTATAAATGTTTAAATTTTATCACTACTATCAATTTACATGTAATAATCCATCCTCATTTCTATTGATAGGATCTCCTTTTAATAATGCAATGATCATACTGAAAAATATGTAATGAACATTTTCTTAACCTTTTGTTTGTTAAACTGAATGATTAAATAATAATTTAACATATACATATATATATATATATACATACCAATAAAGATAAATAAAAAAGAAAATTAGATAATATCCAAGATAAATCATACAATCTCTTGTATGCCTTTTTAATTGTCCACGGTTATGGATTTCTGTAGGATCATAAACTCCCATATTACCACTGGGCACTCCAGAGTATTCATAGACTAACCATAATGTCATAGGTAAATTTACCAAAAACAATATTAATTGTCCATGTGTTAATAATAAACATTCTAAGAATAAATGTGCTATAAGCTTTGGTACTACCCACTGTAAAATATTACTATTTAGAATTAGTTATATTATTCTTTTATTGATTAATATTTATAACAAGTTTACAATTACCGTATTTAATTTTGAACAACACTGTTGAGCATTCAAATAATCACATTCTAAATCTGATAAGGTTATAACCTATATTATATATATATTAATTCTAAGATAAGGAATCTAATTACATATTTTCTTATTAACAAAGTAGAAAAATTATTTTAAAAATGTTTAAAATTGAATATAGCGCCATTACACTAAATATATAATACTAAAAAAACATATGTGATAAAAAATCCCTAAATATATATTTTCAATAAATCCTATATAGACTTCAAGAATAAAATTCTACAATTATATATAAATAACAAAATATAAATATAGTAATTTTTTTTTAAATTTTTGAAATATAAAAAGGATACAAAATACACCAAAAGAAAAAGTACTGAACCGGTATCGATTAAAGCTAATACGAACAACAACGGCTCAGATATTAAACCCATTCTAATGATCTTGATTAGTGTAAATAGTCTTTAGATAACATTAGGATCGAATCTGATAATTCATGTATGCCTTTCTTTAAAATATAGAATTATTTGAAATACTTTCCACGTACAAAGTTCAATAAACATAAGAGAAAACTGAATTGTCAAAATCGACAAAACGAATAACTTACGATACTACCAACTATTGAGAATACTTTTCTAATATTGCCTTCTTCAAACTAATACCGCCTAGTCATAGATGATAATGTAACGGAATTCTCTATATTATAAATATTCATACTCGTACTTTATACCGAAGATAAAATATAATATAGATTTAAAACTTTCATGTTACTAAAGTGATTTGCTAATTTAAAAAAAAAATCATTGTGGTGACCTCTATAATTTTTAAACATTAATTTAGAATTTCAATATAATCAATATAATATAATCAATGAAGACAATAAAATAGGAAAGATATAAAAATTAATATTTTTATATTTTTAATTATATATTTCTAAATACAATCTTTATCTCTATCTATAAACATAATGAAAAACATAATAGAAAAGAAGATATTAAATCTACATTATATCTTATCTATGTTTATGTTATTGTGTCGATACTAAAAAAATAGATAAAATGTAAACAATATTTAAGAACCAGCAAAAAAACGAATTATTTATTTAATATTATTATTAAATTGTATATTTTCTAATTACCAATATAAATTATTTATATAAATCTCTCTAAAATAGAATAAAATAAGAAGTATATATATTAATTTCTATGAAGAAATTTTATTTGCATTTGTTATTTGTTATTTATAAAAATAATTCTTTATCTTATTTATAAAAATAATTCTAATATATAAAATTATAATTACAGAAATGTTTCGGGACACTCCGAAAATTATCATAGAAGATGCATCTTCTCCATCTGCTTCGTATGTTATATACATTAAAATGGAAGATTTATTAGAAAAATTAAAATTGTTACATTATGATACTGAATTTTTATCAGAATTTAAAATAAAAGCTATAAATAGGTAATACACTTATTATAATTATATAGTATTTTAATTTTATCTTCTATAAATTATTAAAAAATTATATATATATTGATTCAAAATATAGGAATTATTTTGTAACACAAACAAATCCAGGAGAACAATTTTATACATTTACATCTTTAGCTGCATGGCTAATAAGGAAAGCAGGTGGAAATTTTGAAGTTCCACAAGAATCGGATGACCCTAATGCTACCATAGGTTTAATATTGGATCATTTAAGAGATACTGATGTATCAATAGAATTTCCACCTAATAAGCTTAAACAAGGAAGTGGTGAACATGCAATTTATGTTTTAGATAATTTAGCAGATGGGGCATTAAAAGCACAAAAATTTCAATGGAAAAAGTAAATTTTTTAAATTTAAAAAAGAAAAAAATGTAATAAAGATATTGTAAACATAATCAAATATCGTAAAAAATAAATATTTTTAGATTAGAGATATCACCTGATGAACCAACTAATGAACCAGATATAGAAGATGATGATGCAGAATTAATTTTAGAAAAAGTAGAGGAGGAAATGATGGCTGAATATGATGATGAAGATGAGGATATTTTACATGTTGATGATATTACAAAACTTTATGGACAAAACTTTGTAAGTATGGAAAGTATGGAAGTATTTGTATCATATTAACTATATTTTAACTTTTTGTAATATTTTGTAGAATGAAAGTCAGAAACCTGATGATATTTTAGAATCTAAGACAAACAGAGAAGAATGGCAATTAGAATTGGAAAGAGTATTACCTCAACTCAAAGTAACTGTAAAAACAGGTAAAAAACATAATATTAATAAAAAACATAATATTAATAAAATATTAATAATATTAACAAAAACATAATATTAATAAAAATTGAAAAAACAGAATTAAAAAGATAAATTTATTTCAGATTCAAGAGATTGGAGATCACATATAGATCAAATGAAACAATTACGTATGAATATAGCAACAAATTTAAGTGGAGTAAAAAATCAATTAGATAAACTACATATTGATATATCTAATACATTGGATAAAATAAAAACAAGAGAATCCTATTTAAATAGACAGCTTGAGCCTACTTTAAAAGAATATCAAATATTTCAAGACGAATTATCAAAAATCAAAGAACAATATAGAGATGTTAGTGGAGGTGTAACTGAAAGAACCAGAATTTTTAATAAATTATCGGAAGAATTGGAACAAGTAAAAAAAGAAATGGATGAACGAGGATCAAGTATGACAGATGGAAGTAAGTATTTTTTTAATCTCTGGTATGACAATTGATCATTATAGATTTTAAGATAAAAAATAAATCTTTTAACAAAGATAAATTAAATAAGAGATTTATGCTGTGAGCGATATAAAATATAAATAAATATTTATTTAAAATCAACAATTCAAATAGCACAATTCAAATTGATTAGTCAATTCTCGTACCGAAGAAATTAATGTAATTATATTATATATAATAATATTATAATATTATATAATATATATTAAATGCATTAATCATAAATATTTTTTATAGCTCCATTGATAAATATAAAAAAAACGATTACTAAAATGAAAAATGAAATTTCTGAAATGAATGTTCGAATTGGTGTTTTAGAATATAGTTTAATGTGTGCAAGGATCCGAGATCGCACGCAATTGCAAGAAGATATAAATAATCCAAATAGCATCGCAATAAGTTGAATGAGTATCATAATAATTTAAGTAATTTTTACTATCATTGCATTTATTGACATTGTTATGAATGATATTTTTGATTTTACACAAAATTTATCTATTTATTTTTATTGTTTTCTTTTATTATATTTAAAATAGATCGTATAAGATATTCCAAAAATGTTGGAACATCCGTAAACTGAAAATTTCTAAGATAATTTTAAGCAATATTTTCCTTTTCCTAAAGTAATCAATTAAATAACAATTATTATATATATAAATTATGTACAATTTTCGTTATGACTTTATTAACAAAAAACACTGATCAATCTTGAAGCGCATCGAGTAGCGTTGAATATATGCTGTCGATCGAGCATGAATCCGAATAATATATCTCGAAGAATTGTATATTGAATATAACAAAAAATTTTTTATCAATTAAAAATTATGTTATCGAATTATATCACGAATAAAAAAATAAATATAATATTCAACATATTTTCTTCGAAATATATTGTTCGATCAACGATATCTAATTACTATCATGGTTCGACTAGGCTGGCAATGCACTTCGTGATTGGCCAGTATTTTTTGTTAATAATTCTTAATAAAATAAATATATATAATTCTTAATAAAAGCCGGGAAAGTTTTTACAAAGAAAAATGTTTAAAATTAAATTTCAGGAATCTCCAATATACAGATATTCTAACATTTTTGGGACATCTTGTATATAATTTGTGATATACATACTTTACTGATAATAGTTATCGTTAAAAAGAGTCCAATGAAGCATTTGTTTCATATTATATTTATAAAATTTTTATGCATTGTATATTTAGCTTGTAAAAACTGATTATTCAAATATATGATATTTTTTTATAATTATTTTAAATAAAATTGTACAATAATTAAAAATGTGTTTGTATAAAACTTATTTATCATTTTTTTTGAATGATTCATATTTATAATTAAAGATAATATAATTGAAAATAAAACATTATGTAACTGAAATCAAAAACACAATTAATTATTTATCGATTAGATCAATATGATAAATTTAATTCAAAGAGAGAGAACGTATTATGAACGCAAAATGAACTGCATTCCCTCCTCTTTCAACAATTTATCAAGTTGTAAAGTTGTTCATTGCAAAGTTTTACACAGATCAGTCATTGTGCGACTTTCGTTAGCATAGAATGTGACATATTATATACGGTGTTTTATAACTAATAATATTTTACAACGCTAATAATTTTAAATGATTTTTAATCATTATAATAAACTCTTTTTTGATAAACAGGTAATTAAATTCATATAATTTTTTATGTGCACCAATTTCAATTATCTATCAAATTTTAAAAATTTATATTTGTCCTTTATTTAACGCTTTAATTTGTCTTTTTTTTATTATCTATGTCATATTCCTATTATTTTTAATTAACTCATTGTAAATAAAAATTGATCATATAATTAAAATTATATATTTATATGAAATGTATTAAATTATACAACTGATGATATATAAAGTAAAATATTACTTAAAGGTCATTGACTTGTCTATCTCCTCGACAGGATGCACTTTCTTTCCAGTTTTAAAAATATTTTTCTATGTTTATATATGTCAATTTTTCTTTAACTTTCACTAATGTTTTACGCGCATTTTGAAACAGATTCTCTTCATTATTCATTCCGGTAAGATATTACTAATATATTTATATTTAAATAAATTATTTAAAATAATTAATTAACTTTATTCATTATTAAAATGTACAAAATTCATTATTAATTTTTCATTCTCAAATATTTTATGATATGAATATAAAATGTATTATAATAATGTATATATAATTATAAACATATGACACATTTACTCATCGTGAATCTTTCGTTATCAATTAATTACGATTGGATATATATATATATATATATATTTTTATTTTTTTATTTTATTTTATTAAATATATATACATATATTTTTTTACTTAATCTTAATTAATTATACAGTATAACTGAAGGAAATCACATTTTAAAATAAATTGTTTAATTTATATCTTAATATTCGGACAAGTATTATCAACGAATATATATCCGACAAATTTTAATATCATTCAAATATATATGTAAAATATACATATTTAAATAATACATATATATATATATATATGTTTTATAATGTTTTATACAACAATTAAAATATCAAACCATTAGTTTAAATAATAATGTTACATAAATTATTTAAGAAGGATTTATATTTTTACAATGTTATAATATAAAATATCCAGATTTCTTCTATATATTATAAATTATAATATAAGTTATAAATTATAAATTAACCGAATTAAATGAACTTTGTCCAATCTGATACAATATTAACTATGCGTAAACGTCGTAGATCATCGAATAGATATAGACCATCTTTGTTTTGTTTAAATCAATTTTATCTTTGATTATATATTGCAACAAAAGTATTACACGAAATGTTTTTTAATATAACTTCTATATATTCATTT